TATATATATATATATATATATATGTGTATATATATCGAATATACTTTAGGAAGATTGTAAAATTAATTAATTACTGATAATTTTATAAATATCGTGAAAATCGGACGGTTGATTGTGAAACTAAAAATAAGTCAGAGCTTGAAAGTGATTGAACTGAAGCATCGTTTTATTGCATTTGTTACACGTATATATCTTCCTTATGTATAAACGAAACTAGCATACAAGTGCTGACTTAACGTCAGAATTTTAAAGAAAGAGATTCATTATATTAATGAATTATTCATTCACAATCAATTTCCATTATATTATAATATTCTTGATTTATACAAATATCACATTGGAAAAGAATTATTCATTAATGAATTATTCATTCCCAATCAATTTCTATTATATTATAATATTCTTGATTTATACAAATATTATATTGGAAAAGGAACATTTGATCCCAGAGTACAATAAAAAATTAGTCTTCTTAGGAACCAAAGAAAGTGAAAATATATAAAAATAAATTAGAAGATACTGGTATAAAATATTTATCAAAACTAACGATAAAGTGTACCTTTCACTTTCATTGAAACTAATTTTCAACTATACTTTCCCAATATATATAATAATCTCTTTTTTCCCCCTCGGGCTACTGTTTCCTCTCTCGTTCCCGATATTTATAAAATTAGCAATAATTCATTTGCTTTCTAAACAACCTGCTTCAAAGTCTTCTCAGAGGATTGTTTCATCCTTCGTATATCGCAGATAAAAACCATCTCCTTAGATCTTGATTCGCTCAACGGCATCATTAACGTGTTAATAATGATTCTAATAATAGTTTTCCAACTGGATCATCGTTGAAATTAGAATCGTCCCTATTCGTTCAGATCCTCAGAGATCGCCTTTTTCGACTTATCTAGAAACGTGGTCGTCGAGTTTAATCCTATCACGGTCGTTGTGGTCGTCTCGCTCACGGACGAATCCCTTTTTCTGTACGGGTTCGACGGTGGACAGTACAATCTGTAAATCACACGGTTAACGAATCCGAAAGCGATTAAACCATCCTAAATCGTCCCCAGTTTAAGCGTCTCAAATTGTCTCACGTTTTCTCTAAATTCGCCAATAAACGCGACAAAGCACCAAGCACTTTGCGCAGCAAGTTTTCGAATACGAGATATATCGGATGATCGAGATGATGTGAAAGAGAAAGTTAAGTGATTTATTACGGAGTAAGAGGGAATAGAATACCTTATACTCTCTGTTCTCGAACGGGGGGACCAATTGTTATAATACCTTCTTTCTGTGTCCAGATCGCGGGCTGTGCTCCATCGTTCGATGTGGTGTTTCACCGTGTTTTGCACCTCGGTATTTAGAAAACAGTAAAACAACGCAACGAACAGGCCCTGAAAATACCAAAAGTACTCGCTAGAGTATAATAACTTTTTACTCTTTTTTCTTTTTGTAAGAGTCTCCTTATAAATCAGAGAGACTTTCTTCTCCAAATTTAATTTATAAAATTTATTCGAAATTTGATGTTATAAATTTCTGGTATGATTTCAGCGTGATTCTTTCGTTTTAAATAAATTTTTCTGAATAATCAGATCGCCGTAGTTGAAAAGAAAAATTCCGCAATTGAATTTCATTGTGCAGATATTTTTCCACTATATTCTATCTGATTTATCTTATGAATATTCCATCAGTGACCTACTTTTCTTTCATGAATTTATTCCTGGCAACACGTACGTCAATTGGCCAAATGTTTCGAATCATCTTTTAATACTCAATCCATTATTAGCTTTATTTTATTAGTTCAAAATAATAGGTATACGAGAAATTCTCTCCTCTTCCAAACCAGTTTGATCGATTTTTCCAAGAAAATTGTAATTTCAATTAAGGATACCTGCGGTTCTTCTCGAAATATTTTATCTACGAAAAAGCTTTGAACTTTGACGTTTCAAGAGTCGATTACATTATCGTTTTATCAAATTACAGTAGTTTGTATAAATTCCACGAATGCTAGATTCTTTCGAAGACACTTGGATCGACGTGGTTTTCAAAGTTCGCCATACCCGAGAAAATAAAAGAATTTATGGACGTGTATCGATTTCCATGTCACCGCGTATACTTATCTTATCTACAAGAGGTTCGCGTAATTTTTTTTTTCCTATGGATTAAACCTGTAGAGAATAGAGAATTCATCTGAATCTTTTGCGAATATTTTCTAAAGTGTTTGACAAGCAAGGGAGGAATATTTTTCAAATAAGTATTTGCCGGCTCTTGATTTGATAGTTTTCTTCTTCGAGATTTTGTTGAGAAACTTGTGATTAATTGTAGTACATTTTTTTTTTTTTATTAGTTAATGCTATTTTAATTAACATAATTCTCTATTATTATACATATGTTTTGTATTTTTACAGGTAAAAGTCTTGCTACTAGAAAAATGAGGGAAGGAAGGAGATGATATGAAGAGGTCGACGATCCAAATTTCTTAAGCTATAAATTGTACATATCAACCAACGAACAAATTGATATTTTGAGTTTGAAATTCTCCAACTCTCCAACAGCTCAATGCCAATTCTACGATTATAGATTTAGTTGTCGGAGGGGCAGAAAATTATATAATTTATAAATATTGTTGCATTCGAGGTACATATGTAACATAACTATGATAAGAATGCGGGTTACTTAACATGACATAATACACCTCCCATAAATATTAACGTAACATATTAAAATATGTATTTTATATTAGGAAATTTTTGGAAAATTGAGTAAGTAAATCTCACGGATCTTTAGAGTTATCATTAAAATCATTTGCTTGTAACTTTAGACCGTAAGAAGAGGAAACTCGTACGCTCAATATTGTAAGAAAAATCTCACCGAATAACTTGCATTTTTTCCTACATTCACACTTACTTTTTCAACAACAAAAAAAAAAAAAAAGAAAAGGATTATTCTTATCTTATTTATCACAAAATTGATCGCAGATGATTTTTCTATCATTATCTCGTGGATAATACTTTCTATGTCCTAAATGACAAAGAATTGCTCTGCAGAATTCTATACTAGATCACGTTCTATACATAAATATATCAACCTTTTTTTTTCTTCATTGCGTAACAACGTTTATAAATTGCACCGTGTCCATAATTGTCTACGTCAGTTCTAACAAAAGATCAGCTCGTCCTGGCCTCGTTCCTTTGTACGTTTATAACTGAATTATATGCTATCAAAAACTACACGGCTGTCCAATGGCGCACGAGCAACTAGAAAAAGGGGATTAAATAATGACTAGAAAGAATCCCCGGGGAAAAATCCTGGGACGCATCCATGTTTCATCAAAGAGAGAAGCAGGAAACATCTCGCGATGCACAGACCAGTTCCCTTTTTCGAGTTTTTTTTTTTTTTTTTTTTTCCCCCCCCTCCGCGGGGCAAGTAAGTTGGCTCTTGTAACGAGATATGTCTTGCAGTTGCATTACCTGCGAAGAAAGGAACGCGGCTCGAGTGTAGGAGAATGCATTAGCAACCTGACCCTCCGTCGGTCCCGTTAACACTAGCACGTAAGTTACTCCAAGAAGTGGTATCAGCACGAGTAACGCTTTACTCGCCTTTCGGTATTGCTGCGTTTCCGCGTTCGTCGCTGACCATAGCTTCGTTATCAGCACCTGGAACGAAGAATTGTTAGAATAATGATGAACGAGAGAGAGAGAGAGAGAGAGAGAGAGATGTTTGCTAGTAATAATCTTGTTATTGACGCAACCTTTGTAACATCATGTAACTCATCCATATATTTATATAATTTTGAAAAAATCTTGTTGCTTTCGTGTTTTATCAATTACTATTACTATTGTATTCTATGCTTCTATTCATCAATTGCATGATTTCACTTTTTCCATCCTTTCTAGCGGATGCAGTTGCTCAGAATGAGAACATTTCACGAGTACGAATATTCGTGCGAAGCATTCTGAAACATTCAGCGAATGTACTGCAACGAGATGGAAAAAATGTACCGTAGAACTCGTGAAAATATTTAACAGAGACGTATTGCCTCTCGCAGAGAGCTGAACTGGTACAGTTGATTACAGCTCGTTACATTAATGAACTTTGAGATTCCAACAGTTGCAGTTTTTTTTTTTTTTCATTTCGTCAATTAGAAAATTATTATAGAAGTTCGTGGCCCGACAACTTCTTCATCGATCCGATTGTCTGCAAATATGCGGTTGCGTTCGTGCAACGAAGAGAAAGAGAAGATCGTTTTTTTTTTTTTCAGCGTATATACTGACCCACATGATCATGAAGAGAAAGACGACGTTGATGCACAAGACCAAAATGGCAGGTGCTTGATAGAACCAGTCGTAAGCATGCGATACCATCCAGGGACAGTGCTTGCCCAGTGCGACTTCCTGCGAACATTGTCGGTCACGTTTATTACCTGGCGACATTTATGACCGGGCCAACTCTTCGTTAACTTTACGAGCGAACGTTGCCGGGTCTGTTTCTCCCTACGGTGTACGTGAAACAACTCGTACCCGATGATGTTTCGCCTCGTTGACTTTAGTTACTCGTCGCGCGAGCAACTTTTTCTGCCAAGCACACTCGGAAGAGTTGCGCCAGTTCTCCTTCACGGTGAGAGATTCAACGGGGGTAATTTTAAGTCGCCGGGGGAACGGTTACGGCGACTACGGTGAATTAAAACTTGCTCGAATCACTATAAATTCCTTTCGCACAAGGGGAAACGCGAGACACCGTTAGAATGCAAATGCACGTTGTTGGGAATTTTGTTGAAAGAAGCAGGACTCTCCGGAAGTAGAGAAATGTTTTCACGTATTAAATATTGTAGAGGAATATGACGATAGAGATACGCGTGTTTTCATGCATTTTTCCG